GTAGGATTCCTTTCTCTCTTATGCTTTCCAGGTCTCCAAGCTCAAACGGAAGCTGCTAAAATGGAAGCCGCTAAGGAGGAAAATAAGGAGTTAGCTGCTCTCATTAAGCCAAAGGGCAATGCTTCAACCGAGTATGATCTGACGGCCAAGAATATCACACCAATGGGCGGCTTCCCGCACTACGGAGAGGTACTAAATGACTACGTAATGCTGAAGGGATGTGTCATGGGTCCAAGGAAACGTGTGATAACCCTTCGCAAGAGCCTTCTTCAGCAAACTGGCCGTCGCGCCACGGAGAAGGTGGCTCTTAAGTTCGTCGACACCTCCTCCAAGTTCGGCCATGGCCGGTTCCAGACTCGTGCCGAAAAGAAAGCCTTCTTGGTAATCATTTTCTTTTGAATTCTTATCTGTTTTTTATTTTCTAGGGACCTTTGAAGAAGGATTTGGAGCGACCGAAAGTTACTGCATAATTTCCTGTGAAATATATTTACAAAGGATGATCTATTTCTGATCTTACGATTTCTCCAGCGTACCTATGGAGTAAACCTGGTTTTTCTTGAAAATAATGGGCTCCCTTGCGATCAAACTGGTTGTAGACGCGATTGGCACATAGCCATATCGTGCAGACACCAGTGAAATCGACCGTTTTCTCCGAAGCCACTGGCGGCCAGCTAGTGGTCCAAGGCAAAACGGATAGTTTTGGCTTGCATACATTTTATTGAGTTCGGCATATCCCAAATACGAGAGGGCTAGTAGGGATTGTCAGTGGGCGTCTATAATGTCTCATGGTATTCATTACCTTATTTGAACATACGTGATTTGTGCTGGATGTGTTAGTGCTTTTGGTCTACAATTTGTGAGTTGTGCTAAACGTAGGCTTCGGATGCTTTTCCTGTATAGGTGTTGGCCTTTGTTTAATAATTTCCTTTAGGGGATAATGGCGTACAGAACTCACGCTACCGCTCATTCCAGCCATTGGTGTGTGCCTCACTGTCGGGCTTGCACTGCAACTGCACATTTGTCTTAAGTGAAGTTGTAATCTTACAGAATTTACACATTCTTTCCTAACCCTCATGGGCCTGGTGTCACGAACATCTTAAGACGGCCGCAGTCTGATTCGGGCGCCGGTGTTTGGCAGAGTTGGAGTATCTGTCGAGGTGTAACACAATGCCTCCATGTGCGGAACCAGTGACATGCCTTACCGTTGGTCCATCGCATTTATCGCGTGGCCTGTGTAACGCTCAAAGTGGCACCGGATGATGTGATTCAATATGGCATGAAGGGTTGACAGTTAATTCTGGGATCGCAGTTCACACTTTATTTTCCCGGCCATCCTATATCTTGTGGCCTCGTGTGAGAAGAACCTTTGCAATGGGTGGATGTACGGCATATGTCTGTTCTTCGCTGAGGCAATTCTTCGGGTGCATGGTCATTTATGTTGTGTACTTAACACATGAAAGTGTCATTAAAAATTACTCGTGAGTAGAAATCGTCACCAATACGAGATGGCTACAGCCTTTTCGAGGTTGGGTTAGTCGACTTGTTCTTTTACTTTAAAATCGGAAGATGCGGAATTGCGTTTTCCGTATTAACATTGGGCGGAACACCAGCTGATAAACGTACTGGTCGCGCTGCCTCCAGCTGAAGCCCAGAGTGAAGATCGTATGGTGTCTCAAAAGGATTTGGTGCGAATGAATGTTACTGCGTAGTTTCTGTGAAATATATTTACAAAGGATAACCGGTTTCTTAAGCGTGCATACGGAGTGAATCGGGTTTTTCTTGAATAGAATGGGCTCCCTTACGATCAAACTGGTTCTCAACGCGATTGGCGCATGGCCATATCGTGCAAACACCAGTGAAATCGACCGTTTTCTCCGAAACCACTGGCGGCCAGTTAGTGGTCCAATGCAAAACGGATAGTTTTGGCTTACAACGATTTTATTGAGATAACCCAATCAGAGGGGGCTGGTGAGTTTGTCATTGTTTTCATTACAGAATCTGGAAGTCGTTGCGCTGTTCGCGTTTTGTGCTTTTTGTCTACAATTTTGTAAGTATGCTTTCCGACAAGCCGTTCTATCGATATCATTAAAAATACCTATATTCTGTTAGCTTCGTGCTACTTATCACCTGCTTGGGAGAAAGACCACTATCAAAAATTGGGAAACCATGTAGGTGTTGCTACGGCCTATACAAAATCTGCTTTTCTCGTCAGCCACACCAAAGGCGTTCTTACTATGAACCCAACGAAATTGAGCGAGTACCATTAAGTAGATGCTCACAGTGTCCGCTAATTTTGAAAATCCCGTTGACTTAAGTTGGGTCTGAGGGCGGTAAAAAACTTACCAACAGACAGACCGATGCGTGAGGTAAATATGCGATTGCCGTGATGGCAGATTACCCAGTTTTGGTCAGATGTGGTGATTTAGGTGGTTGCGGAATCTCGTGTGTCGCAGGGGTTGAAGGAAGTTAGGGGCGCGTGGTTGGGAGGATGGGGTCGGCGGGTTAGGGCAGTGGGGCATCGGGTAATCAAGCTTCCGTAGTGAGCGTGGTCTACGACGAAGTGTCGCATGCTGGAGGGACTGTTGAATTTTTCGAGGTCGTCTGAGGGATGGTGCACTGCTTCTGGAGATGACTGACCAAGTCGATACGTGCACGGGTGGTTCGTTGACAGCGTTGGTAAGTTGGGAAC